GAAATGTGCGCTGCTTTTCGGTCTGGTTACTACCGTTTATGTCAGAACCGGTACCCATCCCTAGTCAGGTTGTATCTGTCGCACACAGGTAACAATAGCACGTCGTCACCAGCAGTGAAAGTGGAAAAGTCCTCTCTGTTGTGACCCGAGTCTTTTGTTCGGCAGCCGTTTCAGGAAGCTTCTCTCCGGGCCCGGGAACAGTTCAAGGTGGATCTAGAGCGCTATCAAGCCCAGCTGACTCCTGCACAGCTGCAGCAACAAGCCCAGGAGAAAAGGCAGAGGAGGGCCAAGAGGAAGGCCATCCGCAAGAAGAGGGTAAGAAAGACAGAAGGAGCAGAGCAGGCAGGTTTTTGTCTCCTGTGCACTCATCGTGGGTTTCAGGGCGAGCACCTGTCTGCTGGGTTGGTACTTCAACCCTTAGCTTAGCTTCAAACTCTCTACGGCGCAGAATGTGAACTGTGCAGAGTTTTACTGTGTGTGTGTGTGTGTGTGTGTGTGTGTGTTTTCCAGGAGTTGACAAACCTGGGGAAGCCCAAACGTCCTCGCTCTCCTTTCAACATCTTCATGTCGGAGCACTTTGAGGAGGCTAAAGGAATTACGTCTCAGGTCAGGAAGTACACCTGCACTGATCCAGGGTCAGCGTGACCCTGAACTAAAAACCTGCAGCAGGTATCAGAGTTTCAGTGTTTGGTGTTTATGCGGCAGAGACTAATGATGTGTAGTGAAGTCAGCCGGTGGGACGTTACCCCGGGAGCTTCTCCTGCACTTTACAGTAACACTATGAACAGCAGCTCCTGTAAGATGATGTGAGGAGCAGGAGGAGGCGCTAGTGTGAGCGGAAATACAGGGTACAAATGAGGTCATTTTATATGATGATGGTATGGATGTGTTTTCCATATCAGCATATCAGTGTTGGTCAGTAGCTAAGCAGACACTGCAGGCTTGTTTTGGCCAATAGTTGCTCCTGTCGTTGTTTCAGGCTAAGATGAAGTCGCTGTTGGAGGACTGGAGGAATCTCTTCAGCCATCAGAAACAGGTCGGCAACACGCACCTGTCATCCTCGTAGCTGGAACGCTAACGAGTGCTGTCGGGTCTTCTGACGTTTGTGTTTGTGCCACAGGTCTACACGCAGCTCGCTGAGGACGACAAGATTCGCTACAAGAATGAGATGAAGTCGTGGGAGGACCACATGGTGGACATCGGGAGAGAAGACCTGATCCGAGAGCGGACCCGGTCTACCAGGAAGAAACCTGCTGCGAGAGCCAAGAAGGCAACAAAGAAGGTAACAAAGAAGGTAACAACGAAGGCAACAACGAAGGCTAAAACTGTGAAGAAAGCCACGGGAACGTCAAAACCCTCCAAGAAGACCACAAAAAGCAGATCAGCGAAAACTGTCAGCCCGCCGTCCACCAAGAAGACATAAGACGCGTCCAGAGGAGGTGACAGGAGCTGCGATGGCTCGGGGCGGAGCTCGGCCTCGCTTCTCTCTGACTTGAAAGCCCCAGCTGTCTCAGCTCTTCAGGTTCAACAGGACAAAACTTTGATAACCTTCAGACAGATCCGCATCATCGATGTCTCCAGATAAACCGCGATGGCAGCATTTGTAAAAAAGCTACCTGTGAGTTTGAGTCCTTCCTGTGATGCCGACTCACTCCTCCAGGCTTAGATGGAGTAGTAAAATACAAGTTTGACTTTAAAAGTGTGAGCGCCAAATGAAGCAGCCTGTTGGAGTCGGAGCACTGACGTGTACCGCTGTGGTGCTGACAGGAACAAACGGGTTCCTGTTGCCGTCCTCGAACACCTGCAGGATTAATGTGGGCTGCATTTTTTACTTCAACACATCCACACAAAATCCTACAACCATGTAATAGTCTGAATGTGTCCTGTAAGGTCCTGATTCCACCTGAACCTGACATAAATCCATACCTGGTGCTGGTGAGCGTGCAGCTTTAAAAGCAGCGCTCGGTCCCACATTTCCTCTTGAGGTCAGAGCACCGCTGTTCACATGCAAGAAACCTGACTGAATCTTAGTGTCATTACTGTCACGCGTGTTGCTTCAGTAGCAACATGTGACGTCCTGCTGTCTGTGACCCTGAATGAAACCAGCTGCTCTGTACTCGGCTAA